TCTCGGTCAATTATAGTGTAATCGACCTCGAATTAGACCAATTGAAGTCAATATAGTACAATCTCGGTCAATTATAGTGTAATCGACCTCGAATTAGTCCAATTGATGTTGAATTAGTACAATCTCGGTCAATTATAGTGTAATCGACCTCGAATTAGTCCAATTGAAGTCCAATTAGTACAATCTCGGTCAATTATAGTGTAATCGACCTTGAATTAATCCAATTGAAGTCGAATTACACTATAATTGCCCGAGATTGTACTAATTCCTCTTCAATAGGACTAACTGAAGTCAAATTAGTACAAATCTCGGTCAATTATAATGTAATCGAACTCGAATTAGTACAATCTAGGTCAATTATAGTGTAATCGACTTCGAATTAGTCTAATTGCAGTCAAATTAGTACAATCGCGGTCAATTATAGTGTAATCGAACTCGAATTAGTCCAATTCAAGTCGAGTTAGTACAATCTCGGTCAATTATAGTGTAATCGACCTTGAATTAGTTCAAATGAAGTCAAATTATTCCAATCTCGGTCAATTAGAGTGTAATCGATCTCGAATTAGTCCAATTGAAGTCGAATTAGTACAATCTCGGTCAATTATAGCGTAATCGACCTCGAATTAGTCCAATTGAAGTCAAATTAGTACAATCTCGGTCAATTATAGTTTAATCGACCTCGAATTAGTCCAATTGATGTCGAATTAGTACAATCTCGGTCAATTATAGTGTAATCGACCTCGAATTAGTACAATTGAAGTCCAATTAGTACAATCTCGGTCAATTATAGTGTAATCGACCTTGAATTAATCCAATTGAAGTCGAATTACACTATAATTACTCGAGATTGTACTAATTCGTCTTCAATAGGACTAATTGAAGTCAAATTAGTACAAATCTCGGTCAATTAGAATGTAATCGAACTCGAATTAGTACAATCCAGGTCAATTATAGTGTAATAGACCTCGAATTAGTCCAATTGAAGTCAAATTAGTACAATCTCGGTCAATTATAGTGTAATCGACCTTGAATTAGTTCAAATGAAGTCAAATTAGTCCAATCTCGGTCAATTATAGTGTAATCGACCTCGAATTAGTCCAATTGATGTCAAATTAGTACAATCTCGGTCAATTATAGTGTAATCGACATCTAATTAGTCCAAATGAAGTCAAATTAGTACAATCTCGGTCAATTATAGTCCAATTGAAGTCAAATTAGTACAATCTCGGTCAATTATAGTAAAATCGACCTCGAATTAGTCCAAATGAAATCAAATTAGTACAATCTCGGTTAATTATAGTGTAATCGACTTCGAATTAGTCCAATTGAAGTCAAATTAGTACAAACTCGTTCAATTATAGTGTAATCGACCTTAAATTAGTCCAATTGAAGTCGAATTAGTACAATCTTGGTCAATTATAGTGTAATCGAATTCGAATTAGTTCAATTAAAGTCGAATTACTACAATCTCGGTCAATTATAGTGTAATTGCCCGTTATCTTTTAAAAAACAAAAAATTAAAATAAAAATTGAAAACAGACTTTGAAAATCCGTTTTTAAGTTTTTTTTATTTAACAAAAAATAAATAAAAATAATTAATAATTAAAAACGGATTTCAAAATCCGTTTTTATGTTTTTTATTAAAAAAATTAAATAAATAAATAAATAAATAATAAAAATGGATTCTCAGAATCCGTTTGTTAACAAAAAAAAATATTAAATAAATAAATACGGATTCTCAGAATCCGTGTTTCAATGAAAAACGGATTATAAGAATCCGGCTGTTTGAATTTTTTCCACAAACTTTTTTTTTTGAATTATTTTTGTCCACGAATTTTTTGTTTATATTATTTAAATAAATGATTCTTGAAAATCCAGTTCTCCCAACACCAATATTTTGTAGCAAACAAATTTAACTTTTTTTTTNAATAAAATTTTTTAAAATATATCAAGAGGACTTAGGTTTTCCTTCTTTCAAATTAATTAGCATCGATTGGATATGCTTTTATTTTTTGTTCTAAAATAAATAAATTAGTAATGTAAAGTTTTTTTCTTTAATTAAAAATAAGTCTATTTGCTCAATTAACAAGTCGATAAACTCGACTTTAATAAATAAGTTTAGTTGCGTGGCTCGCTCAATTAACAAGTCGGACTCCCGTGCCAATTGTTTGTTTGAACTTTGATGTAAGGAAAGTTGAATAAATATATAGTTTTCAGTGAATCAAAGGTAAACATAACTTTGGTACCATCGTTAAAATTTTCAAAACCTTGTTATTTATAATCCAAAAACCACACATCCCAAGAGCAAACTATCACAACATATCACATATTACTTTTTTTTTTTTTTTAACAAACGGATATATTATATTATGGTGGTTGTGCAAATCTCGCAACCTTTTGGTGTTTCAGAAAATGTGGATGCCGGAACATATTGTCGTCAAAAATGCTGTTCAAGAGTGGATAGAATTCAGTTCAATACAGTCTTAGGTATATGGATTTGAGGTGGATGTTGGTTTCTATGCTGCTCGAGATTGTCTATGGAGCTGTTTTTATCCTACTGGTTCTTCTGTTTGTTTATCCTGCTTGTCTCTGTTTGGTTAGGTGGATGTTTATTTGTTTGTATATATTCTTCTGTTTGTTTTATCCTGATAGCACTTTAGGAGTTTTTTAACGTTAGCTTGTGGTGTAGTTTTTGTTTTATTGTCACTGAAGATTTCTGTTGGGTTCGCTATACAGTACGGGGTAAAACGCAGCGGAAATAAAACGAAATATATAAGCATTTATCTAATAAATACTAAACCCCTTGGTTAAAATAGCAATTGTTACGATCGACATCTTTTAAAATCACGTAAAAATACGAATTTTGATTTGTAGAGAATTTCGAAAATTACCTTTAATTTTCTTCAAATAGCGACGATGAAGAGGAAATCAATTCCCGGTTATGTGGCTATCATCGTCTTCGTACTCCTTAAGGGATTCAAGTGTCTCCCCTCTAATCGAGTCCACCTTTTAGATTCCGACTCCGAAAACAATTTCTTCGCTAGTAAAAATTTTCCGGTATTCAATCGGTATTAGAAATTAGAGAGAGGAGATTTTTTATTTATTTATTTATTTATTTGAAATTGCCGAATATAAATGCTGGGAAACTCTTTCCCTTTCATGTATATTTATTTTTCTTTCACAAAAATGAATGTCACACACTCATCTCAAAATGGAGAGATTGGTTCCTTTATATAATGTGCTCACGCACAAACCAAAACCAAACATACATATATGTCATCACCATCCATTTTAATTAATGAAGATTAGATGGCATCTTCATCTTAATTTATTATGGAATCTTGTTTTTTTCTTATGACAAAAGCATATGTATGTGTTAATTGATAGTTGTTGGAATATTTAACAACTCTCATCTACCATATTAAATAATAATAACAATTATTATTTATTTAATTTTAAATTTTAATTTTTAATCTAAATTAAAGATTAATTAAATATAATGACACATAATTTATGAAACTAACTTTCAAAATTAATTGGTCAAAATATTATCTCCCATGTAAAATAAAATTTCCTTTCTCATGTAGGCTTTTAATATATAATCATATTAATATTTAGATTTGAATTTTAAAGTCCAACTTTAAAATCCAACTATTAATTTAGTAATTCAAATAATTACTCAATTAATATCCAAAGCCTAATTAATCAATCCAATTGATTAATTTATTATATTCCTTTAATTGACATCTAATCAAATTAGATTTAATTAAATAATCAAATTATTTAATTAAGTCTTGTCAATTAATCCAACTATTGGAAATACCAATTTCAAAATTGTCATCATCCAAAATTTGGTGTGACCCTTTTAGGTTCACGATTAACACTAGTAGTGGGTTTACAACTCGTTTGTAATTTAAATTAATCTAATTAATTTATATTCTTGCAATTAACTCCTTAATTTCAAGAACCCACAAATCATGGGAACACCTAGCAAGTAGCATGATTATCTAGTGTTAAGTGAAATAGCGAGTAAACCTTTTTTCAATTGCAAGTGCATACATGTAAAATCCTTTCGACAACTAATTTCCCGATTAAATCTTGAGCATGGATTTATAAGTCGAAACTCAATTGATTTAATAACTATGATTCCATTTCAAGTTTAGTGATTCCTTTATGAATCCATATTCATCATGCCTTGGCCAAGGTCTTTGAATCACAAACTATGAAAAAACATAGGAAATTCACTTATCCACATAAGTGTCGAATTCTTTGTTGGCCACAGATAAACCTCCATACATATTAATACAGTATCTAAAATATCCCTTTTATGATTGTCCAGCAATCAAAGGATAAATCAAAGTAAAGCATAATATGTACACGATTACTATCGTGCCTCAAGTCAGAGGATCAATCATGTACTACTGCAATATGAAAATTCTTATTCGACAGTTAACACTTCCAGTTAAGAATTTTCATCGGGTCATGTTCAGTGAACTTGTTCTCCAACAAGCACCCGCATATATGCATTTTCGTCCATACGCTAATGTTGATAGAATGCAACATTTTCATCCAATGAGCATACATCATATGCACAAGTCTTACCGGGTTATTCGATGTCCTGTTTCGAAACACCCATCGACTTGGAACTTATTTAAGATCACAGCTTTAAAGACATGTTCCATAATTGCCATCAAATGCGCAACCATGCCTCATAGCTAATAATGATCTAAGGACTTTATCATATGTGCAAATATAGGACAAATGTAAATACATAAGATAAAGTTAAGCCTCAAAATAATATAATTTCCAATAAATTGTTTTATAAGTAGAAATAAATCCAATCTAATTGGAACGCCGGTATTGTACTCTAACAATTTCAACTCTTTTTGAGTTGTCTTAGGTTGATTATTTTGCTGTCAGGGGTCTAGGCCATCTTAGCATGGTTCTCTCATTTTACCCGACTAGTCTGTGTTGATGTGTTGTATTATGAACTTTGTATCANATTATATAAACACAAACAACCAAGTACAAGCCCAGCTAAAAAAACTAAAAGAGTACAGCAATCTGACCAACAACAAACCAGGGGGAAAAGGTTACAAACCAAGATCCCCTAATCAGCATATCCAAACACTAAACATCTAAAACCAGAAACTAAAAAATTACAGAGAAAGAAGCTAAACAGCACATCAACTACAAAAGAGGAAATACAAAAATAAACAACAGCAGCAAGACCACACATAATTACAAAACAGCATAACTCCCATTGAAGCCTCTGAGCACTTCCCACGAACCAGTTTCCAAGAATCCGCATAAGCAGTGAGAGTAGTTCAACAAGAATTAGTAAAAGATTCAGCACTGACAGTTACATCACTGCCCTACCTTCACTTTTACCTCCCCCTGAAGACACCAGAATTACTACTCACCTTCTCCCTCCTTGGTACTGATAATGGTGAATTCCCTCCACTCCCAGATAGCCCCCTCAGCCACCTCCTTTTCAGACCTCCATTCTTTCTTAAATATCCAATTATTCCTGGTGCGCCAGAGCCACCAAAGAAGATACGTAGTGAGTTCTATTCTATCTTTCCTCCTCCTGCCAATGTCCATTGTACACAACACTGTCCACCAGCTTCGAAAGTCATCTTCTTTATCCCTTAATCCATCCCAAATAAGCCCTGATAGTTTCCAAACTCTCTCCGCTCTACTACAAGAGAAAAAGATATGTTCTAAAGTCTCATTCTGCTCACCACACTGTTGACAAATTGGATCTATCACCATTCCTCTCTTAAGTAACTGGTCTTGAACTCCAATGAACTTATGCCAACATTTCCACACAAACACTTTTATCTTGTTCTTAACTTGTAACCCCCAAGTTCGCCTCCAGACCTTCTTAAGAATATTGTTCTGATTGCTATGCTCTGGGATGTCTTTCACTAGTCCTGCATTTTCCACAAGCAAATTATAAACATTCTTTACTGTAAAGAGGCCTTGCGGACAGTTATGCCACACCAAATGGTCCTCTTTGCCTTTGACTGGTACAGGAAGTTTGAGTATTTCTTCAGCTTCATTTGGGAGAAAAGTTTGCTTTACAAGCTCCAAATCCCACATGCCATCATCCTCCTTTAATAGGTCAGTCACTTTTGTCAAGCGCAATCTATCTCGCTCAAAACAACAGAAAGGTTTAAACTGAGGAGCTCTAGGAAGCCAGGGTGATTCCCATATGTTAATCGTATTCCCATCTCCAATTTTATATCTGACCCCCAATCTAAGAACATATCGAGCTTTCAACCAAGATTTCCAGAGCCATGAATCCGAATTTTTTGTAGTCACATCCCATATTTGCTTGTCATGGAAATACTTCCCCCTCATTACCTTGCTTAATAATAGGTTTGGTTGAGAAATCACTCTCCACAATTATTTTGCAATTAGAGCATCATTGAATAGGGAGAGATTTCTGAAACCCAACCCACCTTTATCCTTAGGTAATGCCAATTATTCCCATCCTGTCCAATGAATTCTTTTTCTACCCTCTTCTGAAAATCCCCACCAAAATTCAGCCATTACCCTGCAAATACTCTGGCAAATCCCAACAGGCAACTTAAAACATGACATAATATACACTGGTAAAGCTCCCAAAATAGTTTTAATCAAAGTTTCTCGTCTTGCATCACTCAAGAACCGATTTTTCCAATTAGAGACTCTTTCAAATACACAATCTGACACAAATTTAAAAGTTTCTAGCTTTGACCTACCAATACCTGAAGGCATCCCTAAATATCTAGAGGACTTAACCACTTGAACCCCTCCAAACAGATGGCAGATAAAATCCTTGGCCTCAGCAGTAGTATTTTTAGAGAATAAAATGGAGGATTTAGAAAGATTAATAACCTGTCCAGATGCCTTACCATAACTAAGCAAAATATTATTCAAAAGCATAGCATTATGACAATCATCTTTACAGAAGACAATGGAGTCGTCTGCAAAAAAAAGATGAGAAATTGAAGGAGCAAAACGGCCAATTTTAATGCCTTGAAAATTAGAATATTTACAAGCTTGATCAAGCAGATTAGAGAAGGCTTCAGTCAAAATTAGAAAGAGGTATGGAGAAAGAGGATCTCCCTGCCGTAATCCTCTGTAAGGTTTCACATAGCCAAGAGGCTGACCATTAAAATTGCTTCAGTCAATATTTAACATATCACATATTACTAACAAACAAAATATCTCAATTATGACCTCTGTTGCCATGAGAAAAATCATCTAAACCCGAATAAAAAAAATGAAACCCGACATTCTTTTATAGTAATCAGAGCAAAAGAATCATTAAGGAACGTCATCAACACTCCTTACATTCTTCCTTAACTCTATATCGTCAAGATAATTTTGATAGATGTATGACGCAAATCCCACAAACGCCATCAACATGGCAACAATCTTCACACCATTCATGTTATCATGGAAAACGATCAACGATGCTATGGGCGTCACGGCCAGCGAGAGAGTACTAATGACATTAGAGAAAAGTGACGACACCACGAAGATCAAGCCCACGACCCCCACTGAGCAGAACTGCCACGACACTGCCGTGCAAACGAGCGTCATAACGTACGAGAACCTCCCGCTCGCAAAACTACCCATTTCGCCCCCGAGAGTCCTCCATTCACCGCTCACGAATAGACCTACAGCCGCCACACAAGTCGCGACAGCCGCAGTGTACATCTGCATTTCAAGAACGACCCCGAATGTCTCCTTCTTGAGGACCTTTTCGAATGTCAGCTGCATTACGGACAACAAGAGAGAATAGAGGGCACTAGCAGCAACGGCTGTGATGATCCCAGCTATGTATTTGCGGGTGGTGACCCCGGAAGGCCTGTCCGAGTCCTCGTTGACGCCAAGAAGGACAGCCGACAAAGTGAGGATGACCACCGAGTTGAATATGAGGGCAGTCAACTTTTGGCGGTTGATGAAGAAGGAGAAGACGGCGTTGAAGGCCAGCTGGGTGGCACACACGAGAGAGTAAGTGGAGGCCGAGAGGTATAAGAGGGCAACAGAGTAGAGCATGTTGTCTCCAGCAACCACGCCCCCAATCACAATGTAGATTGCAGTCAAAACGAGCAAGGAAGGTGAGGCCGACAAATTGGGAGGAGGTTCGTCCAAGTTAGAGCAGGAACGGAGGAAAAAGTAGGGGACGAGGAGAACCGGGAAAGCGGCCGTCTGGACTAAAGTGGCCATCCATTTACTGTTTCCGCCTTTGTCGTAATAGAATCTACCCAAGAGGACAGCAGCTGCTTGGCCCACGAGAAGGAATGTTATGTTGAGGACGACCAGAATCCACCAGTGCACACGCTTGAGCTTGTGTAGCGGGTGCAGATATGTCGAGGGCCCATCTTTTGCCAGAATCGGAATTTGGTTATCTGATAGACGTTACAAGCAATTACAATTCCTTTAAGGGGAAAATGATGTCTCTGCAAAGACTAATAAGTTGATTAAAGTTGAACAAAAATGTTAGATATCTTTTATTTTGCATGAGAGTACACTATGGTCATATAGTCATCGTGTGCATTCAAGCGGACGCAGACATATCCTGAGCTGGATAGATAGATAGGTCATGAGAAACTTGATAGAGTGAGCCATAAACCACCCAACATACAACACAACAACACTACAGTACATTTTCTCATGCCATACTTTTTCTCTTTCAATAGAAATTTTTCTAACCAATGTTGAAAAGGGAAAAGGGGCAAAAAGCATCTAATGCCAGAAAACAAACAACTTTTAGGAACAAAGGGCTTGTGTTTCCAGAGGTTCTTTCCTAAACACTCAACACTGTAAAGTAAATAACAGTTGCTAAATAAACATGAATCCTCTGTTGTCTGTCAATTCCTCATACTACGAAGCTACCAAATTCATTTAAGCCCAAAAAGAAACCAACACGATAAAAGAAACGAAAATAATAATCTCCAAATATGACCCAACACATCATCAATCAAGGTAAAACGTGAAACCTTCCACATAACCAGGCACATGCACCAACCCACCAGATTCAATCAATTACTTGGTACACGATAATTCAATAATTTTTATCCATAGACCCCAAAATAAAAAGGTAAAAAAAAAAAAACAGTATCTTTCACTTACTCTTGGCAGAATCATCAGCATCGACCTCTGCCTCCGTCTTTTTGTCCTCAATAGCTACAGACAGCTTTGTTTCATTCTCATCCATGCCTACTGCCGGGTCCATAAATCAGATCGTTAAAACGCTTAATTGGGGTAATCAGGTGAGTGCGCGATAGCAGAATGCGAGAGAGAGAAACCCTAACTATTAAGAATGAACAAAATCTGGAATTTCATTTGAGGAGGACGACGGTGCAGTTTTTAATGAGATTATCAGTAATATGATAGTTTCGTAATTAGAGCATCTCCAATGCAACTTTTGACATTATAAAAAGTCATTCATATCACCAACTTTTGAAAGTGTGTTTCTATTTAACTTTTGAAAGTGTGTTTCTATTTTTTTCTTGAAAGTGTGTTTCTATTTTTTTCTTCAATGCATCTTGTCATGAACTCTTTTATGATGAGGTGGATGTCATTTAATGTTGACAATGTTGAGCACACTTTCTAATATCTAACACCATGTTAAACATGATGACTCATCAATTTACTTTATATTTGTTTTTATTTTTTATTTTTTTTGTATCAATGAATTATTTAATTGGTCCACCTATACAAATAACTTCTTATCAAATTAATGCATTGGAGATACTAGTTTCATTGAAATTTTTAGTCTCTTAACATTATTCCAATATGGATTAACATTACAATTACTAATTGACATGTGTTAAAAATAATGGTCTTTCACACTTATAGCATTGGATATGCTCTTAGGCATACGCTTTACTGTCGATGGATATATTCAAACACGTGGCGAGTCAGGTGACTCGAGATGAGTCATCTGATTGGTTCAAGAAGGTGAAGACTTGTGGACTCAAGTATTTAGTCCGAAATTTGTCTCCTTGTAGGATGCACTTGGGCTTACTAGAAAGAAAGCTTCACCGAGAATCCATTGATAATAATAATAATAATAATAATTATTATTATAATAATAATAATAATAATAATATACTACAGTCCCTTTTATAGTATGTATCCATTGATGATGATAATAATATAATAATAATTATAAATTACAGTCCCTTTTATAGTATGTAACTAGTACGTACTTCGTGGGACATAATTATTAAATGAGTTATTTTCACAGCCTTGTCCGTTTAAGTCTAAAAAATAATAGAGTTATTATTTATTTTCTACCTCTTTTAATCAACGTTAAGTTTAAAAAATAATTGGATTATTATAAATTTTTTCCACATCTTTTAATCAATGTTGTTTTTTTAGCCATAACATTAAATATGAGCATGTTAGGGCTAGCTTGTAAAATAATTAATATATTATCTCACTAAAACATTTATACTAATAAAAATTTAATTTTAGCATATAAATTTATCATTTGATATAAGAGAAAGTAACAGTTTTACTTATTGTTGTTCACCATATAATATTTAATTATTATTTTACTATATAATAAAAAGAAATATTGTTAAACAGTGTAGTAGAATTGTTATAAAATTATATGAATTATTTTCTTTTACAATATGGATTTAATATCTTTTTATCATTTGATAATATAAATAAATCTATACTTGCCTTTGACTTTTCCAGCAAAGGTAAAAAAAATCAATTCTGATTTTTATCCCATAACAAATCTTTAATGTCAAGCCTATAAATACCAAAACAAATCTGTAATTAATGTCATTCTATTTCCAGCAAGCATTAATTACCTTTGACTTTTCTGTCTACTATTTCTAGTAAATAGGATGACTTTTTATATAAGTATAGATTTTAAAGCCTATTGAAAATCTAAGTGACAGACTCGCATGTTTTATACACTTGTCCAATGATTAAAAATCGTATTGGTAACGCAAAACACTCCGGCTGGCTTGAAATCGGCTCGCCTTCCTCCTCCTCGCCGGTAGAACGCCGCGTACCTGCAAAGAACTCTCACACCGGGGGATTTTACCGGTGACGAGCCTCCGATGCTTAAGTAAGTATGTGTTTTACTCAATTCTCCAAAGTAAGAAATGGATAAATTGTAAGTCACAAGAAAAGACTCACTCCTATATATATAGGGGTAAGATACCTGCTCTAGGAGCTGCCCGGATCTGATGAGCTGCCATCCCAGCATTGTCCGTCCGTACACACACAGTGTGCGTGTGTCAGAGGTGTCAGGGGTGGTTATCGCCACTCTCGCTCTGCATCAATGTACTCTTGCCACGTGCACCTCTGAGTAGAGGGTGATTATTCTCCTGCACATTCCGTTAGTATTTTCTGATGAAGTCCACGCGCTTTCTCGCGTTCAAGCCACGCCCTCGATTGCTTTTCACCCGCCGAGTGCTAGATCTGACTGAGCCCCCCTTCGCTAGGTCGATCATCGACCAAATCTGCTATGCTGCTCGATTACTTCCTTTTAGTCGATTATTGCTCGACCAATGCGGTTTTTCTAATATCGAGCTCGTACGACCAACATGGTAAACTGGTTTATTCTGTAGGCATATAATATCCCATATCATCTAGTCCCCCCCACTCTGGTCGAGTCTGAATGACTCGATCTAAGAGTGAGCTTGTGTCTGCCCCTTCGATTTGTTGGCTTTTCGACTGTAATGCCCCGTTTATTTGTGGATTATTTGGGATTTAATTATTATTATTTTTATTGCTATTATTATTGTTATTATTAATTGGTAATAATATTTATATTTTATTTTATTGAATGCCGTTATATTTATTTATTTGTCAAATGTGATTAAATGCTAATTGTGAAAATTGTCTAATTGTTTAATTGATTTTGTGTCTTAATTAAATTATTGATATGAATAAATGTGTATGTAATAATATGTAATATATATATATATATATATATATTTATTTATTTTTCGGTTTATTTTTATCGCGCGTTTGCATTCGAAATCGAGCCCGATAATTTTGTTGGAATCGAATTGGGCCCGAATATATCTGTTTAAATTTTTAATTGAGCCCGTGAGCCGATTTGTTGTCCCAACCGGCCCAAAAATCCTTTTGGCCCAAATTCCTCGGGCCCGGCCCGACAGATTTTCTCCCCCTTTTGTTTTTCACGTGTGAGTCCTTGTCTTGGGCAATAAGGATTCTAAACCCTAATAGCATATATATTTATGTATGTAATCTTCCTTTGTGATAAAAAAACTCAATCCCGCAGCTTCTTTTTGTTTTTGATCATCTTTCTCCCTCCTCCCTCGTCTCTCACGCTGGTTTTCTCTCGCACAAAAAAAAAAAAAAAAAAAAATTGCAACTTTTCTCTCTTTGACCTATCGTCCATCATCATCATCGTCATCTCTCACCATCTCATCACCTTCATCTTCATCGTCCCTCTCGCCATCCTCTCGTCGTCATCTCCTCGTCTCGCCACCATCATCGCCGGCGTGAAGCAGCCACTTCCGGCGACAGTTGCAGCAATCCGGCGAGCTCGTTTATCCTACGAGTAGCAACTCCGGTGACCTTCCCGGCGAGCCCGTGAACCAGCAGCAAGCTTCCCTCTCCCTTCCGTGCACAACGAGCCTTCTTTTCCGGCGAGACGAGTTTACCGTCGAGCTCCTTGTT